TTGCATCACTTTCTTGAATTTAACTTCATTTATTCATAATTTCATTTTCTTTTACATGAATCACTTTTTGGTTTCCTCTGATTTTCTTTAGATTCACGCAGCGTTTCCGACTCGAGTGAAAGTATTTGCTTTATATTTGTCGATCAGCAAGTCAGAGTTTGTAATTGACGGGGAGGGGGGAGATCGAGGAAGTACATTTCTTTGGGTTTGGAGGTATTAGTATAAGTAGTATTTGTGTATTTGTATATTGGTTAAATACCCAGAATTCATTCCTTCACTGTTATTTGTGTTTAGTATTTTTCCCACTTTCATTGGTTTGATTCTTCTGATTGAAGCCTGAACGTTTTCGAGTCCCTCCCACAAATACCTGACGAGACTGTTCTTGTCGTCGGGGTCGGACGCGCTGACGGAGCCGATGATGGTGTTCCTGGGAGCGTCCTCTTTGGTCTCCATCACGTAGCTGGCTCGCTCGAACACCGGCGGCTCGTCCACGTCCTCCACGACGATCTTGATGGTGGCCTCGTCCCTGAACGGGCCCATGGAGAAGAAGCGGGGGTTGATGTGCACGTTCTCCACCTGGACGCGGAGGCTGTACTGACGCTTCCTCTCGAAGTCCAGCGGCTGCAAAGCAGAGGGAGAGAATCTCATCAGGAGGACGTTTGACTTCACACGTTTCTTTGTTTTCTCGCAGCAAAAAAGAAAAACGTCTCTGTGATGTTTTGTGTTTTTGTTTTTTAATCGAAGCCTTCGTCCCCTCACATTTACTTTTAAACGTTCATCTGTATGCAGCGGCATGTTCAGCCGTGGATTTTCAGAAAAACTAATCTACATTCAGAGCATCCGGCCACGTTTAACTTCAGGTCAGATTCTGATTTTATTCATTAAACTGACAAACTTTTCCAGAGCGTCGACTAATGAGCGTCAGTGACGGGTCCTGCTGCAGAACAACCCACACGCTAAACACACGTGGAGAGTTTCACTCATTTGATTTTTATGATTTTACACTAATTGATTTTCGGATTCTTTGGAAACGATCGATCAGAGTCGTCTCGGGATGTTTGCCAGTTTGTCTCAGTTGCTCTTTTTTGTCATAATTACGAGATCATTGCGCCTCAGAAGACACAGAGCGTCAGACTTCGTTGTGTTTCCTTTGACTTCATGAAGGAAAATGAAAAATAAAACAAATAAAACTATAAAAATAATCTTTTGTTTTGACTTTTTTTTTAAGGTTTTACACATAAAACTTTGCTCACAATAAAGAGACGATGCAGATAAAGTACAAAGTGAGATGTTTTCCAGATACTGGACGACACACGAGTACTAACTTACATAGAATACTTGAACAGCTGTGCTCCTGACCCTGTTTGATTATTATCATCGTGACCTGCTCAGATTAAACCCTTTCAAAAACAAACACAGAATAAATAACACAGAACTAGTTTTGTTTTCTGGGTCATAACTGAAAAACAACTCTAACAAATAAATCTAAGAAAATATAAATATTTTTACATATTTAATTCTTTATATCTTTATTTTCTCACAATAACAAACGGTCCACCTCCGCAGTGACTCAACTCTTTTACGTTGTTTTACTTTCTTTCTCTTTTCTTTTACTTTCCAGGGTGAAATATTTCCAACTAGCTGACGCGTTAGCTCGCTCCGGTTCGCCGCTGTGAAGCGACAAAGAAGAGGGGATTTCTGGGAAAATAAAACTGCAGCTTTATCTTGTTGAAAGTAATACTTCTACAAATACTTTAAAGACGTGGGATTGGATCTGCACAACGATTTTGCGTAGTCGCTCGACGGTATAAGAAGCATTTATCGTAACATGTGGAGAAATGACACGGACACACCGATCTAACAAAGGCGCCATGTCGTGGACGCTGCTCGTGCCGGCAGGAGGTCCGACATTATGTTTGTTCTGGACTTTTCATTTCACCCATTTGTTTGCTTGAAAGGAATCAGACGTACGATGACCCTGACGATCGCTCTGCTCTCGCGTCCTACGACGAGCACGGTGATTAGCGGCCTGCGCGGCGGCTGAACTCCTCTGTTGTCGTGCACGTTAGCAGGATGTTATAGCTTTTATGTTCCCTCTGTGAACCTTGTTCTGAAGTCGCAGCCGCTGAAGGTATCCCCCTATTGATGGAAATAATTGGTGAGCGTTGCGTCTTAATGCGCCCGGTGGCGGGCGGGAGCAGCTGGATCAGAGCGAGCGCTCCTCGCAGGCCGCCTACTGTACATATGAAAGGACGCCAGCTCCGTGTTCACTGGTAACGACCCGTGAAAGCTCGAGAAATCAGGATGGAACAAACCGTTTTCTGAAGCCACGAATAAGAAAATACGGTGAGGGGCTGAGTTCTGCTGGTTCGTGTTAAGGCCGGGCGGGGGCCCCCCCCCCACAAACAGGCTCCACCCGCACACACCACATCGCCACAGCACCGCCGCGGCTACAAAAGGCAATTATGTCATCTTCCACTTAATGGTGGCATGATGGAAGCCATCGATCGGAGGCTGCAGGGAGGCCGCTTGATAAGGCAGCTGCCAGATTCTGTTGAATACATCAGAAACACACCGCAGCACACCGCCCGACGCCGCGATCCATACTCAGCATCAATATTTCTGCTTCCGTCTCGGCTGAGAGGAAGAGGGAATCTCACTCAGAACACGTGTAGGGGAAGTGTCGGCGAGGGGAAGTTGAAATCTAACTCCTGCGTCCGTCTGGAAACATATAGAGTTTCTATGATTCGGTTTCTTTATCGGATCCTTTTATTTTTTAAATGTTTCCTTCTCATGCACGAAGAGCAGGTTTTGGTTTGAGGTTGAACAAAAGGAAGGAAAATCAAGTGCACGACACTTTGTGAGCTGCAGCAAATTCTGCAAATGAAGCTTTAAATTTATCATCCTGACGATTTTCATGAAATTGAACTCAGACAGTCAACAGTCTCTCAAACGTCTCCATGAAGTGTCTTCAGTTGCTCAAGGCTGCAGCTTCGCTCTTCTTCTTTCGACCCTTTGAGAAGCTGATTAAGTTCACATGAACGTTTTGTTGGACTTTTAAAACGAAGACCTGCGGGGAACCATTTAAGTGTTTGTTCCGCTGAGATCAGCTCCAACTAACCAGAGCGTCACTGGTCCTGCTCTGGATTTTAAATCTTCCAGACAAACAGAAAGGTCACGAGCGGCTGGGAAACATCTGACGTTCAGGTTCAGGATGAAACAAAACTTAAAAGAACTTCATATTTTAGATATTTGAATCGTGTGTGTGTAGTTTTGTGTAGTTAAAGATCCTCACAGACTCTGCGCTGAGTCGTCTTTTAAATCCCGTTTGTCCATTTTAATGACTGAACTGTTCCTCGATCAGTTTGTAGTTTCACTTATTGTGAAGCACTTAATAAAACATCATGTTCACGATCACAACTGTTAAAGTTCTGAAGACAGAGCAGATTATTTACTGACTTTATCCAACAACTAGTTTGTTTGCATTTATTCTACGTATTCGTGTCTATTCATCTTTTATTTCTGATAAAGTGACGAGAATCTGAAGAGAAGTTCTTAGAGGAACGTCCGTGTGGATTACTGTAAATCAAAATGTTGATTAAATGATAATTTCGTCCCTGACCTTCCTCAGCACGATCATGCCGTCCTGCGTGCTCCTGTTGGTGGTGATGTCGAACACGCCAGTGCCGTCGCTCCCGATGATCCTGTAGTCCATCTCCGCGTTCTCGCCGATGTCTCCGTCCATGGCTCGGATCAGTCCCACCGTGGACCCCAGCTCGATGGACTCGGGCACCCGGAACTCGTAGAGGGCTGCGGAGAGAGAATTTTAAGAATTTAGAATTTTAACGACGAGGAGAAAACGTCAGGAAGGAAAGTGAGTCAGACGCTGAGGCCTTCACGACTGAAATCACATCCTTGGTTTTTCTTTTCTTTTGGTCTTTGTGGAGATGCAGTTTAATTTTAAAGGTGAATCAATGCTTCTATTTTGATTTGGTGAGAATTTAAATAATTAAAATATTGATTAAGAAGCATTAAGGCCCCAGAGATTCTCATGAGTGAGTCAGAACCAATCGGAGGGCGGCGATGAAGGGATGGAGAAGCTGAGTGGGGGAGTTCAGTATCAACGTATCGACTCACGACTCCAGTTTCGGGTTGTGACATAAATTCTGGGCCAATTTGCTCAACATAAATTAATTGCTTCTCCTTTTTTTTGTTGTTGTTATTGTGCGAGATGATTTCCTGGTTGGAGGCGGGTGAATTGATGGCCGCCTGTCAGCGGCGGCGGCGGCCCCGCTCGCATCTCGTGTGCTTAAATAAATAGCCGGACTGCAGGAGGGAGCGGGCGTGATATACACACAGCCTGCGGAGACAAACAGCACTGACACACTAATAAAACATGCTGACAGTGTTTTGGCAACGCCTGAGTCGGCAGGTCGCCGTGACGCTGACACACACACACACACACACACACACACACACACACACACACATAAACACACGCGCTGGAAGTGACGCACCACGAGAAGGTTCCCTAGGCTAACCGGTATTTAGCATTGGGTGGAGAAGAAGAGGCATCACTCCTGCAGACAACAATCATATCGCTTCCTGACACTCTACCTCCTCTGGGTTTCCCATTACAATATTTCTTTCTCTTTCTCCCTCTTTCAATCTTCCCCTCTGTCCGCCCGCCCCCCTGCTCCCTCCATCACGGCCTGTCTTTTTGTCGTCTGCCTCACTCTTCGTCTTTCTTCCTCTATCTTCCCCTCCTGTCATCTCCTCATCCCCTTCATATCCATCTCTCTCTCTCCGTGCCTCCTCTTGCTGTTCATTCATTGGCGGCGGAGGTGAGATGACAGCATCTGCACGCATCCCCCTGCCCCCCTCCTCCACCACCTACCTAAACACTGATGGAAGGAGGAGGAGAAGGAGGAGGAGGAGGGGGGTGATAAATGGAGGGACAGCAGGAGTTCTGTGGTCGCAGGTTTTTCCTTTGCGCCGGCCGCTGTGCGCATGCGTCCCCCTCTGTACAGTTAGCTCTTAGCGAGGGGGTAACACAACGACACCGGTAATCTGTCAATCTGATCTGGCTGCTGTCGCCGCTCGGCAAACACACAAGAGGAGGCGAGGAGGAGGAGGAGGAGGGAGGGGGTGGGGGGACAAAGGGAGACAATGTGTGAGACTGAAAGAGAGAGAGTGAAGAGGGAGGGATTGATGTATCATGAGTTTTAACAAAAAAAACGCACCAAGGACAGTTTGGAGCACTAAATTGAGAACATTGGTTTTATGGAGTAAAGGCAGCAGGAGAAAGACTTAATAACGGCAGAGAGACAAAGAGAGAGGAAGAGGAGAGGAGATAAAACCCAGCGAATGTACTCTCTCCATTTAATAGGGATTACAGGGATGATCTGATGCACTTTGCGGGACCTTTCGCTCCGTCATATGGCTCTATATTTAATTATTCCCTGCCTTTAAGAGCCCGGCCTCAGTGGCACAAAACCCAGAGCACCCTGCAATAATCCAAATTCGTTTTTGAAACTGACACCAGATGGGGAAGGCTCACGCAGACGAGAGGTTTTCATGTGTGTGTGTGTGTGTGTGTGTGTGTGTGTGTGTGTG